ATGTTCTAGATGTTTGCTAAAGTGTTGCTAGTTGGTTGCTAGGATATTTTGGGTGGTTGCTAGGCTCTTGCTATGCAGTTGCTGGGGTGTTGCTAGAGTATATGGTTGATAGAGTTTGTTCTGGGTGATTACAGACATTCCCACCTCTGTTAATAACAGAAAATCAAACATTGTTTTCAAAACTGATCCAGTTTCAGTGCTTTGATATTATTGTATTTCTTTCTAATGTTAGGAAATTCAAATTTTTGTTGCTCTTAAACTTGCACTAAAACGTTATTTATACCATCTAAGTAGCCTATGTAATTTTAATAGAACCGCATGTCTTCTTTGGTGATACAACCTCAGAAACATTTATAACCTGTTGAAGTTTTTTTATATTGTGTATTGACTTGGTGCCATGATGGATATTGAAATGTTGTAATTTATTTTTCATTTTAAACAGTATAAATTATTACTTAATGGTAATACAATATTTGTGAACACAACTGCGTAGGTCAGACCATAAATCCCCAAAAACTATTCATGGGGGCTTGCTTTGGTGTTGCCACCCCTCAAAGACCCCATGCCACCCTAAAAAATTTTTTCTAGATTCGCCCCTGGCATTCACATAAAATTTTATTTAAACAAAAGCTTAAGATTTAATTTGTATAAAAACTACTGTTTTAAGCTTTTGATCACTAGGTGGGGCAGGGGTAACGTATCCTAACTTGCAGGGTTGTCCTAACTTGAAATCAATGTTGCTCAAGTATAGCCTTTGTCTACTTGCGGAGCACACTGTACACTGTAATTGTACGTGTACTCTAGCTTCTGTCCATGGCTTTATTACAGATCACGTAAATCCTGAAGAATAAACTTGAGGAATATTGCTGAATAAGTTTTATTTCTGACTGGCAGGTGATCAACGCTGCACTGAACTGCTTCCTTATTTAAAACATGTTCCTGAACTCCAAGCGACAATGCTTTGGCTCTTTTTGTGCGTCGTGGTCGTGGATGTTCTTGTGGGTAAGACTTGCATTTAATGAAAAGAAATCGGAAGGCGTTATAATATACAACATTGTTATTGTGTCATGTGTGCATACATTGGAAATAAAAAAAAAAACCTTTATAGACACAAAGCCTTGGTGGAAATGGCAAAACAACTGTGGGATATATTTCATTTTAATTTTGAAAAAGTGAGAAATCAGTTTTACTCAGTGAATACTGGGATATTTCGTGTTTTCGTTTTGTTTTCATAGTTTTAACGTAATCACATTTTTAGTTCAAGTTTAGTTCAATGTCTGGGTCTGGCACAATGATGAAGGATGGTAAAACGTTCTAAGACAGTTTTAATGTGACCTTCATTTAACTAAGGGAAAAAATGTTTTATTAGTTTTGCGACATAAAAGTGAACTGAACTGAACTGAATCTTAAAATGTTTACTTGATTGAACTATGTCTTCCCTCTTCTGGCTAATCAAGTAAAATATTTTGGCAGAGCTGAATTTGACTTAAGACAGATGAATGTGGTTGGTCTGCTACATGTCCTGTACACATTGGAGGATTCTTTTTTTTTCTTCACTTTGTTTGGCTTTCTGATAGTTCAGTCCCTGCCCTGAAATATTACATGGTAAAGAAAGAAGGTATCATTTGAGTCAGTAATGATGAAAGACTGCGTAACAAACCTGTGATTTAATCTCTTGATTACAGGTGTACTGTGGCCAGTTACATTTAGGGCTCTTACAAGCTTCAGATGTAGAGTTTTTTTTTTTTTGCTTTCTCATCACAGCTCAGGATATTTGCTATAGTGAAGAGCTTGATACTGTGAACATTTTTGCTGTACCATTGCTGTCCAATGTTTATGTTTTCATAATACATCAAAATATGAAGGAAAACTATATTTTTTTATATGAAATGTGCCTAGGGGTGTTACTTCAAACAACTCTAAATGTATCTCTCTTTCCAGCCACATTTGAGGTGATTGTCCCTAATAAACATCTGCTGGCAGTCCGAGGTCGTCCAGCTGTACTGGGCTGTGAGTTCACATCTGGTCCTGACCTCTCCAGCTTGGTTATTACCTGGCAACGACAGGAGGACTCACGGGTTGTCCACAGTTTCTATTATCAACAGGACCAATTGGACCGACAATGTCCAAAATACCACAATCGGACCTCATTGTATGTTTCAGAGCTTCATAAAGGAAATGCCTCTCTAAGAATTGCATCAGTTAGACCGAAAGATGCAGGTTGGTACCTTTGCGTAGTGAGCAATGCAAAGGGAACAGGAAGAGCCTTGATGGAAGTGACTTATGGAGGTATGCATATGATGGACATAGAAGAGAATATGTTGTACAATATTTCCACTTTCCAGGACCTTCCAGCTTATTTTTTTGTCATATTAAATGATTAAATTATCATACATGTTTTGTTTACAGAAATGACAACTAAAATAAATTTTGTATTATTGTTTTTGAAAAGCAATTCCAGTGATTAATGTAGGATTCCAAATCAACCGGTTCAAAATCATTTCCATTTTTTTTTTAAATATGACCAAATGATATTCTGTTAACCATTCTTCCACATGCATTCTCAGAACACCATACTAAAATACTCAGACATTGGCTATGTTTACATGCACAATTTTTGGTTCAATCGGACTGAATTCATTCCGATTGATGAATCTGAATGTAGTGTTTACATGAACGCTAAATAAAGTGATCGGGTTGATGTGCGCGTTTAGATGTCACAAGCTTCAAATCGGAACTGATTTTTTTTACATGCGCACACTGCACAAATATAGAGTTTCTCACTGTTTGCACATAATAACCACTCTCCTACACTGTTTCTGTATTTGTTTTTTAACAGCAGAAATAATATGTATCCATTTATGGATAAATATACATATAAACCGCTGTGCCGTGCTGCTCATATTTATCACGCAGTAAAAATGCCCCTCCCCGCGCCCAAAACTGGTTGCCTGTGGATGAGAATCCAAAACAAGCAGAGCCGATCCTCCCTATACTCAAAGTATGCAAACTGCGTAGGGCCCCCGAAACACCAGGGGGCCCCTTGCTCTCAAAGATGATTTTTAATTTGGCCAGCGGTTATGACAACATGAATTTTCATTTCTTTTAATGCGGTGCGCTGTCGCCCTTTCTACGTAAAATCAGTCAAATCATGTAGCGTGAATGTAATACAGTCTCTTGGTCAAAACTAAAAAAAAAAACGAGTTAAAAGCGTACCCAGCCGCAGAAGAGACACTGTTTTTCAAGCACTTTCCATGAGCGCGATTCGAGACGGAGTGAACACAGACAAAGGCTTTTCATTCATTCATAACTCCCCCGCAGCTGGCAACAACCCCCACCCTACCCTACCCTACCCTACCCTCAATCGGATCGATTAAGGTGTTTACATGAAGACTTTTCAGTCCGATTGAGCCGTCAATCCGATTACAAACGGATTATTTGGT